CACACACCTACACACCACACGCACCTACAGCTCCTAAAGCATATAATCAGGCTACAGCCGTTGTGTATTTTATTATGTGAAGCACTAAATGGGTTTAGAAAAATATCGACTCTTTGTTTGTAGATATCTACTAAACTAAAGCAAATAAAGAGAGTAGGCCTGTTATACTGAGTGATATATAGTATACACTGCTCTGCTTTCTGCACGGACCTCACAGGTTCTCACTGTAAACATTGCGTCGCGATGAAAAGAAGTTAATAAAATAATATCCAGGGGATGCATGCAGAGCTGTCATTGGCTGAGATCAGTCGCCGTGCGTCACGATTCTTTGAAACATCTCTGTTCCCGGAAATGCATCCACGAAGGAGCCGTGGAGGACCCATCAGTGTATCCTCGTTATAGCTCCTCCAGAGAGCCTCCTCGACGCTCGATGCTCGGTCCTCGATGTGCATTTAGAGAAATGAGGGGTGTTTCTCAATCGCGAGTACGCTTGCTTGGTAGCACATGTCTGCCGAGCATCTTGCTTCAGAAGCGAGTCAAATACTTCCTGACATTCGGAAAACGAAGAGTGGAACACGCTAGCAAGTGTGCAGGTGTGCGTCATATGAGAGGCCCCGCCTTACATCTTCCGCCACAGATTTGGGGAAATTGGTCCGTGCGCAAACCATTGTGGGGATTTTAAGACCGCGGAGTCTACTCATGTGCAGCCTCGATATTTCTCTAAACGGAGTACGCCGGGCTCGGTAGATTTCCAAGTATGCTGGAGATGGAACAGTACTTCGGCGGCACTCGATGACGTAGTATGCTTGAAATAGTGGCTCTGAAGCAGCTTTACTCGCGATTGAGAAACACCCGAGATGTCCTTCAACATGGCGCGCTAAAATTCATTTCCGGGTCACTACCGGAGGACCGAGGAGTCGAGGAGTCGAGGAGGGGGATTTGATGAAATGAGAACGGCCCTTTGATTCGGCGTGAATAAAGTGTCCCAGAATGCAGTAATTAAATAACATTTCAACCAATTGGATTGCCTCTTCACGTCCACCAATCAGATTACAGTTTAAGCGCAGCATACCGCAAGACATCTTATTGGATGATAGAGTCCGATCTTTAGGCGACTTGATTTCTCAAAAATCTTGAGCCAGCCACGTACACATGTGTGATGTAATATGCAATTCATCTTTAAAATGTTGAATTTATAATGTGATATCACCATTCACTAACTGCAGTCTAACTATGATCCACGCTCTTAGGTCCTCTGGATCCACACTATGGCATGTAGTGTGGCCTTGTGCAGTGGTGCTGGCTCAGATCTATGGTCACAGAGAGGGAGCTGAGAGACAAGACAGTGTTGGAGGTGAGAAGAAGAATTTCAGTTCACATGATGTGATCTAAGCTGCCATCTTGGAAACCAGGACGTTCACAAGGCCCGGTTAAAGTGGCTTGATAGACAAGTTTGATCTTTTTGTAGTCAAACCCAATTCAGTCAACATGACATTTACCTTTTTTTAAGCATATTTCCATGCAGAGAGATGAGGTGACTCTGTGTAAACTCTGTATATTCTGAGATTTGCTCCGGCCGCCGCCGGGACATCTTCTCTGGCTGGTGGAGTTAACTCGCTCTGAACTAAATCCCTCTGTGGAAGCTCGGCCTCCACATATCTTGCTGCTGCCAGAGTACCAGTCTTCTTGTTGGACAACCACTTTCGGATATCCATCCTGACCTAAACGTGTCTTCTCTTTCTTCCTTTCCTTCTCACTGCTCTACAATCTCTTTGCTTCTTATTCCGGATTTACCCCTCTCATTCTGTTCTTTTCCTCTGATCTTTAATAACAGATAGTACTATTAGATGGCTGCACTTTGGTTAACAGACTAACTTTGATTTCCTCAATCATAAATTGACAGGCTCTGTAATTATACCATAACCTTTTCTCCTCTATCCCTTAACTCGTCTTCCTATACAGATTGACTTACTTACTTACTATCTACTCTAGTCATGTCACGATTAAAGAAAAATGAATCATTAATCATCATTAAATGGTTGATTTTTTTATTTTCAGAATTGAATGTTCAAACCAAGGCCTAAAAGCTGGCATTTTCATAAGAAAGTGACTAATATATAAACCAAATGTAATATTGGATACAATACTACACCAAATGGACAGACACAGATTAAAAGCAAAGTCCCCTGGTTTGTCTCTAGAGCAGGGGTTCCCAACCTTTATTGTGCCAAGGACCGGCAGATACATAAAAAAAAATCGCGTGGACCGGTTTTAACTGATTTTAATATTTACTCACCACCAGCAGGTAGCAACAGAGGCTAATGTATGTAACAGCCTGAACAAAACTAGAGCAATATGCATCCTAAACATATTAACAAAGTTTAAAAAAGAACCGGTGTTGTTTTTGGTTTTTCGGAAAACCAAAAAACCGACGTTATTCAGTTTTTAAACCAAAACGGGAAAACAGATAAATCAACGTTTTGGTTTTGTTTGTATGATTTACGGATAATCCAGTGAATGCTGGGAAAACGAGGAGAAGGCGCATTATGAAGGAGATGTCCGGTCGCCAGTTGTGTGTGTGTGGTGTGTGTGTGTGTGTGTGGTGTGTGTGTGTGGTGTGTGTGTGTGTGTGTGTGTGTGGGTGTGTGTGTGTGTGTGTGTGTGTGGTGTGTGTGTGTGTGTGTGTGTGTGTGTGTGTGTGTGTGTGTGTGTGTGTGTGTGTGTGTGGACACTGGCATTAGTTTTCAGAAGATATTATATAGTGTTGTTCGTTCCGGTGCACTCCGACAGCATTTAGCACTACATCGAGATTAAGATTAAACTCATTTATTTTGGGAACAGCTGCACATATGGAGTTAGCCATATGTGTGTAAATTACTGTTCATAAACAGACACAAACACACCGAACACACAGAGCTGAGCTGAGCAGAGCAGAGCACATACACACACATCATGCGCCTTGGTGACTGACTGGACATCTCCTTCATAAACTAATAAAAGGGGGAGTAATCGGGCAGTTCAATGTGTGTAGGGTGTGTTTGGTTAACACGTAGCAGCCTGCAGTCACTCTTAAGCTGTTCTGATGAAGTTAAACACAGCGAATGCGGTGCGTAAAAAGGCACAGCTCTTTACCGCTGGTGCTGCACTTCTCAGAGGCGGAGTCCCGCTGCCTCCTGATGCTGCAGCCATTTCATGAAGTGAAGGAGGGTTTCCTTCTATAAAACAGCTGCGGGCAGCAGATACCGTGAGAGTCCCGGACATTAATTCATAGATCAAGGCAGACTGGTTTACTTTCCTGTTTGCCAATCCGGTGCTTAAACAAATAGCTCCTCTACACCCCTGGCCGACATGTCCTTAAAATGAAGTCCGAGTTTGAAATATATCTCAAATAATGCATGCACCACCATTTCCCCACATAAACATAACAGTCTGCAATCAAACGGTGTCTCCTGTGCGCTCCTCTTCCTACTTGGCGCACCGGTAACATGCTCGTGCGCACAAGAGGCTGAGACCTGGCTGAGCCGCCGAATCCCTCGGAACATCATAAAAGCCATTTTCAACGGTTTTCTGGTGAAAGATTAACTAGCTACTGGATGAAATAATATGACTGGTGGCATAGGTGCGAAAATTAAACACTTTTTGAAAATAATATTATGATAAAATATTTTGATATATTTATAATTCTACAAATATTACGATAAACTCACAGCTATTTCGCGGCCGGCAGTAACACCGGGGGTTGGGAACCCTGCTCTAGAGTCTAACTGCCATGAGAAAAATCGGTACCACTTTACAATAAGACTATCCTTATAAAGGGTTTACGAATAGTTTGTAATTCATTTATTAATTAAGTTGTGGAAAACTTTATAAATCATTAATAAGCTTTTATAAGACATGAGATAAACAGGGCAACTGTGACGGTTGCTTGCCAAATAGTGAGCCCATATTTATCTGTGCTGCTAAGCCTTATTAGAAATGGTAGTAACTCATTAATAAATGGGAATGTGTTTTACACTTTACAATAAGGCTCCCTTTTGGCAATTATAAATGTTAGTAACTCGTAAATAAATGGTCATAAAGAGATGCCAAGAAACATCAAGATGGAAGGGGGGAATCAACTCAGTGAACAACAGATACCAAGGATGCTGGCTGATGAAGAAGACAAATTAAGCTAGGTAGCCAATATAAGGCTTAGTCATCTTGCCAAATAGTGAGCCTGTGTTGACGTTTGTTAGAACTGGTTTATAAATGGTTCTTAATGATTAATAAAGTGTTTACAACCTAATTAATAACCTAATTATAAACCCTTTATTAATCCTTATAAGGGTAGTCTTATTGTAAAGTGGTACCGAAAAATCTAATCAATGTTCCACAATCCGTCACTAGATGTTGCTCATTGTACCAATACGGTTTATATAATACACAACATATTATTATTATTATAGTAAAAATCTAATCTAAACTAATGTAATATTCAATCCCAACTTGGCAATTGAGAACATACATTCGTAACTTACCTCGTTTAAAGCTTTTGTTGTAGTAGTATGTCAATATTTATAATATATTTCGCGGGCAGGTAGCCTACATTGAATTAGAAGAAGAAGAAGAAGTAGAGGTAGAAGAAAAAGTAGTAGAAGAAGAAATACGCTAATGCTACAAACAGGCACAACACTGTTACTCTGTTTTTACTGACATGTAACATTTTATTTCACCTTGCTCTATGTTTTTAATGCATATTCAAAAACAGGAGCATTTTCGGGAGTTTCAACCGGGTACCGGCCACCGAAAACGGGGACGTTTTGGTCACCCATCCGACTGTGTTTACAGCTAAGCACACACGCTAACATGAATTGAGGCTGGTGCCCCACGGGAACGCATACGGCAAAACGCATAGGATTAACTCAATCGCAATCGCAAAAAAGCTTCCGTCCACACGCAATATACACCGGATAGTGTCTGTTCACACGAGACAGCTCCGTTTAGCTCCAACCACTGGAAAAAGCTGCAGTACATATGCCGAGCCTGTACGTGGTGGCGCTGTAACTTCCTCCACAAAAAGCAGCGAAGAAGCATGGTTGTCATGGTTGCGCTTCTGTTTATTCACCGTGGTGGGGGCCGAGGGAACCGGGCAGAGTTTTTCGCCGGTCAACGTGTGTAAAAGTTTAAATCTTCCCGACAAAATTATAAAAGTGCCGGTCAAAGGTCTTCTTTGTTATTTATTAAGCTTTAAAACAAATGAATAACGACTCTATATAATAATAATAAAATACACGGAGCCTGTCCTCTCTTTTTCCTCTCTTCTGACAGCGTCAGTGTCTGTCTCATAGTAGCTGATCCAGTAATGAGTGACCTGGCCGACAGTAAAAAATAAACATATTTATAACTAGTTTAGGTAGTTTGAGAGGTAGGCTAATTAAAATAGCTAAGTGTGATGATCTGACTTGAAGTGTGTGACCCGCATCACAGCGGGAGGAGCTGCGTGTCTCCGTCCTGTCAGATTAGACTTCACTCGCGTTTATGTCCATATCGAGATAAAGATAAATAATCTGAATTCAGTGTGCAGTTTGACTTTTGCGGGGGTGAGCAGGAGAGGTGGGGGGAGGCGGGGCTATTGCGTCATCATTATCACAAAATGATCGTATAGAGGCGATCACACGGAGCCGTATGACCCCCCAGATCGCTCCGTTCCCAGATCTATCCACCTTTGGACCCGTTGTCGTTTGCGGGGTCCGTTTCTATCGTTTCGTTACGGCCTCGTGTGGCAAAAAGGGCTATACGCAAGAGAAATATGCGGATACAACCCGTTTTCGTTCCCGTGGGGCACCAGCCTAAGACTACAAGCTCACTTGGGGTTGAGACTTTTTTACACGTTGCTTCACTGCCTGCCCACATATCTGATCTAAACATAGTAACGTGTATTGGGGAAAATAATTATTTAAAGTTATTTAATAATTAACTCAAAGTGAGGGGGCAAAGAATACAACTGAGGGGGCAATGCCCCCTTTTGCCCCCTCGTGGCGCCGGGTCCGCTTGCAAGGTGAATGCAGCTGGTAAAAGAAAAAGTGTTTGAATGCGCTTAACAGGTTTATGATATCACTGCCCCGTCTAAGACACGAGTGGATCTGACTTTAATTACATTTGACTCGAGTGTTTCGTCAACTTAATGTGTTGCTTAAAATAATACTTCTGCATACAGTATGTGACACTGTGAGTGTTGCACGGCCAGATACGGCTCAAGAAGCTGACTCAAATAAGGAAATATATGATACATTATGATGTGATATGATATGAATGATAATGGGACACATCGACGTCTGCACTCACAGTGCCGCGGACTGTACTTAATGTTACTCTGATCCGGTTACTTATGTTAACTTGTGGCAGATATTTAAGTAAGCTTTCTTAACGCTAATGTTATAATAGTCAGATTGCTCTGAAGATGGGAGGGGATATTCTATTAATGTTCACGTTCACACAGTCAGTTGATTTTTGCCGGCCGTCTTTCCTGCAACGGCAGTTTTTCTGTATTTCCTTTCTCCTGTAATATGAATTGATCGCTTTAAACTCCGCACACGGAGCTCTGCTAAAGTGATCTCTTATCCTGGAACCTAACCTGCTCCGGACCAGGCTAGCCGTTCAGCATAAGTTACCATGGAGATCTAGCCCGCTAAGAAGTGAACCAGCATCGTAGGACCGGAAACCCAGAGTTTTCCCTGAAGTTAGCTCGCTAAGCGAAGATCCGGCTTCGTAGTGCCGGCCTCAGAGCTGAGCAGAGCACAAACAAACACACACATCATGCGCCTTAGTGACCGGACATCTCCTTCATAAAATGAGTAATAGGGGGATTAATCGGGCAGTTCGATGTGTGTAGAGGTGTGTGTGGTTAAAACGTACCAGCCTGCGGTCGCTCTTTCGCTGTTCTAATGAAAGTAAACACAGTGAAGGCGTGGCGTAAAAGGCACAGCTCTTTGCGCGCTGGTGCTGCACTTCTCAGAGTCGGAGTTACACGTCCCGCTGCCTCCTGGTGCTGTAGCGATTGCATGAAGTGAATGAGAGTCCGAGTTCGAAATATATCTAAAATAATGTATGCACTGCCACTTCCCAACATAAACATTACAGTCTGCAATGAAACGGTTGTCTCCTGTGTGCTCCACTTCCTACTTGGCGCTCTGGTAACTTTCTCGTGCGAACGAGATACAGTATCTTTTTTTTTTCATTGCCCTTTAGGGGCTCCGTACAATACATAAACAAATGCTAATATTTAATTTTAAAAAGTAAAGTGCTTTCGAGTCATCTGTCTCAATTCAAGTCAAGTCTCAAGTCATGAATACCAAGTCCAAGTCAAGTCTTTTATCAATGTTAGTCAAGCAAGTCTCAAGTCCAAAAATATGCAACTCGAGTCTGACTCGAGTCAAGTCATGTGACTCGAGTCCCCCACCTCTGCCTGCTGGACACACTTTCTGAGTGTATGTGTGTCTCCACAGCTCGGTGCAGGTGTGAGTCTGCCCGGTGTGGTGGCCGCTCGGTGCGGGGCCAAGGTGATCCTGTCGGACAACGCCGAGAAGCCTCTCTGTCTGGAGAACTGCCGGCGCAGCTGTGCAGCAAACGGCCTCCACGACATAAGCGTGTTGCCTCTCACCTGGGGGGAGGTCTCACCTGAGCTCACTCAGCTACCCCAGCTGGACATCATCCTGGGATCAGACGTCTTCTACGAGCCCCGGGGTCAGTCCCCGTGTGCACGTACTTCCTGTGTGCATGTGCACCTGAGTAATAACGTCTAGTGTGCATGTACACCCGGGTAATAACGCCTCTGCCCTGTTTCAGATTTTGAAGACGTTCTCCTGACCATCGCTTATCTTCTGAGGAAAAACCCCAGAGCTCAGTTTTGGACCACATACCAGGAGAGGAGGTGCTGAATACACTCATCACACTTTTAAATAAAATAGGATTGAATACAATGTTTCGATTTTAACCTTCCTCTCTACCTCCTTCTCTTCTCCTTCCTCCTGATTCCACCCTCCTACCCCCCTTCGCCACAACAGTGCTGACTGGTCCATAGAAGTGTTGCTCAACAGGTGGAAGATGAGCTGTGTGGACGTTGATCTGGAAACGTTTGATGCAGATAAATCTGAGCTGGCTGGATCCTCTCTGCCAGGAAACCACAGCATCGACATGATGATCATCACCCTGGAGACTGGAGACCTGGGACTGTAGACTGTATATAACAGAAGTGAGAATGTAGACTGTATTTAAAAAAGCTACTTTTCCCAGGGACATTTATTTTCGTGATAGTTGTTCCATTTTATAATGAAATAAAATGGAATATATTTTTATTTCATTGTAAAAAGGAACATTAAAAAAAACGATTTCCCCCGGGATAATTAAAGTATCTCTGATTCTGATTATGTGACCGTAAACTGGGTTTATAAGGACTATGTATATAAAATAGGGCTGTCAGTCGATTAAAATATTTAATCGCGATAAATCGCATGATGTCCATAGTTAATCGCGATTAATCGCACATTTTTTATCTGTTCTAAATGTACCTTAGAGGAATATTTTTCAAGTTTGTAATACTCTAATCAACATATGAGTGGACAAATATGCTTTATGCAAATGTTTGTTTATTATCATTGGAACAATGACAAATATTCTCCTGAATATTCTCAACACAACAACCTGGAACTGCTCTCTCTCTCTCTCTCTCTCTCAACCCTGTCTACTCCTCTGCACTGAGCCAGTTGCTCAAACAGACAAGCCTGTTTACAGTTGTCGGCGAAATGCCGCTCCTCTGTCTTCATACCAGTCAAAGCATGAGACTGAAGTTCCCACTGTGGGTCAAAATAATGCGCTGTGATGTGCAGTCGACACGTTGGATGCGATCCGAATGATCTAACGCAGCCCCTCGTCCTCCACAATGTTAAGCTGTAGCCACCCATTTAACTATCGCTGTTGTTGTCCAGGCGTCTCCCCGGCATACTTTCAAGCGTGGTCTGCTGCAAGCGAGCGGCAGGAGCGGGGCTGTCAGCATCAGCTGTGTGCTTGGCTTGCTGTTTAAAACAAATTTTTTTGTATCCATATCTCTCGCTAGAATCTCCCACCATCCAACTAACAACAACAACGTCAAGCCTTTGGGCTCTGAAACTACGGGGCGGGCCGAGGACAAATACACATGCGTTAATCGCACGTTAAAATAATTAGTGGCGTTAAAAAATGTTTGCGTTAACTTGACAGCCCTAATATAAAATAACTGGCAGGTAGAGGAAGTGTCGTTAGGCTTTAATACAGGTATATTTCCAAAGAAAAGATCACTATTTACATATTTAATAAAAAATAATGCTTAAAGGTGGGGTATGTAATTTATTTCAGAAACACTTTTTGTTATATTCCATGGAATGCTCTTAACATCCCGATAGCAATGAATATATAAAATGCTTTGACAATAAATACATACAAAAATGTCATCTGTGGAAGCCGTGGCGCTGTAAAAAGCACGACCAATCATTTTAGCCGGCCCAGCTAAAATAACTGGATGGCCTACCTGCCTGTCAGCCTTCCATCTGTGCACAAACTTATCTCGTGCCCTCATTGGTCATGTGCGCGTTCGTGTGTTGGAGGAGGGGCTCTGTAAGGAAGTGGCAGATTTTTTCTGGTTGTGTATTTTCAAATTCTAGCGCACTCAGCTGGTTTCTCCAAAATTACCTACCCCACAAAAAATATGGAATGTCAACCTGCACATTTATTACCTGTGGCCACCAGAGGGCACCATATCATTAAACAACTGCAGAGTAGTCATCAACACATGTGACGAGTACATTTACTTAAAGCTCACCTATTATGCTTGTTGGAGAATAATTTGCCCTGCATGTCCTCCTTCGCCCTCTGAAGCAGCTGACCAACCTTGAGCAGCCGTTATCTCCCATAAGGAGGGGCTGCCCTATAGCATATTGTTGATGTTGCCAGTTTATGGCATGGCAACTCTCTGTCAGAGATAGTTATTGTTGTGGGACACCTGGAACACATCCTTCTCGGGGTGTAGATGACCCCGAGCCATAAGCGACAACAAATGTGAATTCAGTGTCCCTCAGCTGTTTAGTCTATCTATTGAAGAATGTTGATTATTACACTCTGAACTAGTTCAAACCTCGAGCTACAGGAGGTTCTTCAGAATTGATTGTGGCATCTCTACCGTGTGGTCAACTCGTGGTCCTTTGATACGTCTTGTGAATTCTCCGGCCGAAGCTCCAAATAAACCGTCAGTGTTTGCCATCAAAGCTCCAGCTCTCCTCGTGTCTCTCTCTGAGTCCTGACTCCAATTGCTTCAGAAGTGTCCCCCACAAATTGCCGTTGTCGGCAGGATACCAACAAATCTTCAGAACTGGTAAGTGTAATTTCAAATCCACATTTGGACATTGCCTTACCAGAAATATGTGATTGACGGTATCCTAAAATTACCTGTGAATACTAAGCGGTTGTGTTTCGTTTTTGGTTAATGAACATTTGGGGCTAGTAACCCCAGGGAATCAGTGTCTGGGGACTTTGTCCTGGCTGATTTTCTCTGTGTATGCAGCTCGGGACGTATGTGCCATACAAGCATGCACAGCTCATGTTCGGAGAAACCTTAAAGGTCCCATGTCATGGCCATTTCTACTGATCATAATTCCATTGTTGAGGTCTACTAAAATAGATTTATATTGTGCAATTTTCTCAAACTCACATTGGTTTCTCATACAGCATCTCTGTATAGTATGTGTATTCACTCTGTCCTAACCGGCTTGTTGGAGCTCCTGCCCCCCCCCTCCCTATGAGCCCAGTGGCCATCAGCGAGACACAGCCCGAAACCAGCTCCGAACACACACCACACACCTGCAAGCCTGGCTGGGAGTTTTTTGTGTGTGCTCACACACCGACTCACAGCCTCGCCGCGTCCCGCCGTCTCAGGGAGGAGAAATTGGCGGAGCTGCAGCTGAGACAAGATTGAATGTGTGTGTGTGAGGAAGTCCGCGGATTGGTCCATTTGGACCAGCAGTTCTACTGAAGCCAGTCCCCAACTCCGGGGACTTCCGGCCGGGGACTTCGGGTGGCAGTATACGCCGTGAAGTTGTTGCGGCCTGCCAGTAAACCCAAAGCAGAAGAAGAAGAAGTGACGTCAGCGGCTTCATTTGACTAATCCTCCCTCAGGCATTTATTCCGGTGTGAACGCGATCCGGGAACTAAAGAGTTCCGATGAACTAAGTACTGGGAACTAAGTACGGCAAAGTACTTGGTGTGAAAGCACCTATTGACTACAAAGTCTTTGAAGATCTGGAAAGATTCACCAAAAAACAAACTCGTTTTTTAGTGACCAAATAAACAGCAATGTTCAGATTCAATTACTTATTCATGTTTTAATAAAGGTGAATGTATTCTTGTATTAATATCACTCTATAACCATAATACGTTACATAGTCTATCTGTTAATTTTGGCTGTCTTTTCAAACTAAAATGGTCCTGACTCTACAGTGGACATAATGTAACATTTAAAAATCAAATTATATTAAAAAAGTCTAAATTGCAAGATGTTTTTTTAACCCTAAATAGGTAGGAAATAAAAAATAAAGAAGATTGGAAAACATTTTTTTTCCTCGGTTCCCAGGAGGTTATACAGTAGCTAACTGGCAAAGACCAATGTTTGTATGTGCACTGTGCCTATCAAATAAACTTAAATACATTTAAAAACCACAAAGAATAAATACAAGTAGCCTCTAAAAATGAATGTTATCAGCGAGGTGCCATGACAGCCATCACAGAGGACATCAGGCAGACAGAAGACAGAAAACGCGGCACCGCCTTAATTCAATCCATCGATTGGATAATTGAGTCAAAGCGGGATAATGAAATCCCTCAAGGTTGACTGTAATTCTCTCCAGCTGTCTCCTCTCATATGTTTCTCACTTTATCTTAATCTGTGCATCGTTCCTCCGTGCGATCCCCCCCATCCCCCCCTCCCGACCTGGTGCCAGTAGATTATAGAAAACTGCAGTTACTCAGGTGCACGATAATGATCTAAAAACGAGGATTTCTGTTCGTTCTACAGGTTTCATATTGAACCTACAGATGTTTTTATGCCGACTTAATCGTTTTTTTTAAATGTAATATGATAACAATTATTGACTAATTAATGGAGCACTTACTGTGAATTAAAGATCAATTTAAAAAGGGAACCGATTTATAAATTACGTAAGCAAAATTCATAAATATTCTTTTAGCTGCAGCTCCCAAAGGGGATTTTTTTCTGAAGTTGTGATTCTCTATGATAATAGTAAGCAATTTATTTATGTATTAATAATAAACTGAATGTATTTTAGTTAATGACATGAATAATTGAAGATAGCATTTAAAAGGATTGCAATCTATTAGTTGATTAAGTCATTTTTCAAAGCAAAAAAATGAACTGGATACATTTTATAAGATTTTGCACAATTCATTAATAATTACAAATTTAATCTAAAACCATTATCAACAGACAGATGTTCGACTATTTAGATTATTTGGTTTCTTTTTCAGACACAAATATTTGCTTGATATGTTTGTTTTCTATTGAAAATATTATCTAGATCAAAAAGTCAACAGACAGAAATTACTCAATTTGAAAATATTAGACATATTCTCTGCTCGCAGTTTGGAATTATTTGCTGGATATCTTTGTTTTCATATTAACAAAACACATTTTTGTTTGGTTTGGTACCTTATGAGATTAATTCTTGTTGTCTACAGACAGAAATGTAATTAAGATTTTTTTTTTTCGTAAATGTGTGATTTAAATCTCTTGGAGTTTCTTCTTTAAAATGTAGGACTTAGACATTTGGAGAATATTCCATTTTAATATTGTAACCTTGTATTTTACCCACAGTAGACCTCTTAGAAGTGTTCATAACTACTTGATGTACTCAACCCATACACAACCAAAACACTATATAAGGACAATACTGTATTCATGGGTACCAAATATGTCATTTCCGGAATGCCCGCCGCTATCTTTGTGACCGACCCGACAGTATTTTCAGTGAATCAATCGGTGATCAACCGATTATTAAACTCTTTATCTATTATCACTGTATTACTGTACATAAATACTTGGTTTTCAGCATTTATATCATTATTAATGTTAATTACATTACTAAATGTTTTACTTATTTATTGTAGTTACATATTGTACAAGTGCCCATTTCAACTTTAAATATTTGTATTTCATTTCATTATATTTTTCTTAAATGGAATAACTGTTAAAAAATCCAATTACCCCCGGGAAAAAAGTATCTGTGATTCTGAAATAAAAAGTTTCCTCATAACTCCCTCCATCTGGCCAATGTCTTTTAACCAGCTCAACATTCATACACACCACAGAGGAATGTGAGGGACACATTGGGGACTGTGAAACAAAACTGGAGCACTTTGAACATTCATTAAACACACTGTGCTCTATGCAAGGGAACACACATCACACACACACCATGGAGCCTGAC